TCGCATCTCAGTTTCAGAATCACATGTATGTACTGCTAATATATTATCATATATAATGTTAGCATTAGTGATGTACTTCCTATGTGTATGTTGTTACCTATACAGGATCATAAGGTCTATAGGGGAGAATGCTTTGACTTGAATTTTCCCTTGAACAAAAGGAGAGCATTCTGGGGGGGGGGTGGGGTTCTAGTCTTAGTTTCTGTGGAAATGTGAATCTCACTTTTAAGGGTAGAGGTCCTTGATTGACTTCTCTAGTTAACAAGTTCTGTTCTAAGAGAATTTACAGGTCTAGTGAGTCTAATTGCATTCTATACTTGTTGTTAAGTACCACCAAGTAGGTTCCGACTTATAGGGACCCTGCCTAGAGTTTCTGAGGAGTGGCTGGTGAGTTTGAACTGCCGACCTTTTGATTCAAACTGACCTTCAGGTCCAGTGCTTATCCTATAGCACCACATCAGGACTCTATATTTAGAGGAAAACAAATGAGCTCCACCCTCAGGAGTAAAACTGAGAATGACTAAGGTCAGAGACCTTATACTGGAGGAATTCTTTTTTTATTTTTTATTTTCTTAAAATATAATGGTTTTATTCATATCTTAAAATCTCCTGGCTATTATTTTTTTTTTAATAAATGTTTTATTGTGAATTATGTGATAGTTTACATGGGAGACCATTGGTTTTACATTCATCCTATCGTTTATCGTTTCATTGCCATGGTTACAATCCCCTCCATGCATCATCAACCAACCACAGGGTATACCCTGCAAGCCTGCAACTCCCTGGTCGTCAGCACACAGCCTCTTTCCCTCTCTGGATCTCAAGTCCCCAGCCGGTACATTGAAGGAATTCTGATACAGCCGTTAATATAAAGAAGCCTAGCTGTGGGCTAATGCATCAGATTGCAAAGTCATTTGAACTGCTAGGTCGGTGGTTCATTCACTAGCTACTCCTTGGAAACTCTATACAGCGTTGCTACACGTCGAAATCAACTTGATGGTCCTTTACATCAAAAATGTTATTTACTTGGTGATAAAAACCTGTACTTTTTGCAATGTTTAAACCTTTGCAGTTATCTAAGGTTTATTTTGTTCTCTTTCACGGTAGGAATTTACAATAATAATTTTTAAAAAGCAGTAAATATGAAATTCTTAGTTGGGTATTTTAAACAGGTATCTGTATAAATGTAAGAAACACTAGAAAGACATCATTAGTGTGTCTTATCTTTTGGTGAGAATTGTAGAAGCAGGAAAAAAATGAGGTTGATGATACCTGGAAAGGAGTTTTTTTGACAACCATGTTTGATACTTGTGAGGTTTTAGCATTTTAAATTGATAAAGTAGTCTACTCAAATAGGAATTCTGGTGTGGTGCTATGGGTTTAATGTGCTGGACTGCAAAGTTGGTTTGAACCACCAGGTCGGTGGTTCAAGCTCACCAGCTGCTCCTTAGAAACCCTATATAGGGTTGCTGTGAGTTGGAACTGACTTGATGGCACTTAACAACAACTCTCATATAATGCACATTTTTTTTTAAGCAAAATAGTTAGAAATCCATTAAAAACCAGAACAAAACAAAACAACAATCACAATGTATTGGAGAAAAACAATGTGCTAGGGAGTCCTGGTGTAGTGCTGCAGGATAATGCACTGGACAGCAAGGTCAGTTAGAACCACAAAGTTAGCAGATCAAACCCACCAGCTGCTCCTTGGAAACCCTAGTCAGTGTTGCTGTGAGTTAAAACTAATTCTAAGGCACTTAACAACAACAACAATGAGGGCGGGATGATATGGGGTTGCATCTGACTTCCTCTGTAACTCCAAGGCCTATTCCTATGAGGCAGAGGTCAGACATGACTCCACCCTCTTTACTCCTTTACCAATTTTGACACCAACTGTCCATGAGTTCTGTAATTGTTGCAGTGACCACACAGAACTCACAGACAGTACTCACAATTAAGGGATTTATTAAGGACATTAACAGGTTACTACTCAGGATCAGAAATGCTCAGGATACAGTTCTGCTCAGGCATGCCTCTCGCTGGTCCTTGACATCTCATCCAGGAGACCTGCTCAGGCAGTGTTGCAAAGCTCCTTTAGCCTCTGATAAATGCCTAATGGGAATTCCAGTCCACCGTAAGCACCAGTCAGAAGGCACTCAGTTTTTAGCTCCTCCAATTAGATGCCTGGAGACCCCACACTGCAAGTAAGTTTCTTACATGAAGGCACTCAGCTTTATTGATACTGAAAACATCCAATGTTTTCAAGACCATTTGGGCATCTGGGAATTAGTGATCCTAATTTTTTTGCAGTGGTGGAATTTTCTACAGAGCTTTTAGGCTCATGTTTATGTCTAAAAATAACAAATGTAGAAAATAGTGGCATTTTAAAGCCAGCGTGGTATCATGATTTGACTAAGTTCAAAGAGTGCAGGTGTGGAATAGTGTTAACTTGGTGGCACATTTGTTGTTGTTAAGTGCTGTAAGTTGCTTGCTGCTAATAACAACCTTGTGTATGGTTTCTGAGACGTTGCTGGTGGTCTTGAATTGCTGACCCTGTGGCTAAAATTGATCTTGTGGTCCAGTGTATTATCCTGCAGTGCCATACCAGGACTCCAGTGCCTTTAACTGCTATCAAAGAACACTTTTATATGCCTAGCCTACTTAAATGTCAAATGAGCCCTGGTAGCGTAGTGATTATGAGTCGGACTGCTAACCTCCAGATCAGCAGTTCGAAACTACCAGCTTCTCCATGGGAGAAAGATGAGGGCTTCTGCTCCCGTAAAGATTTACAGCCTTGGAAGCCCTATGCATGGTCGCTCTGAGTTGGAACCAACTCCATGGCACATAACCACCACCACCACTACCACCATTTAAGTGTCAAGTTAAAGGTCTGGACTAAATAGTCTCCAAACATCCTTCTAATGTGAATGCATATATAAGTGTATATCGTTGTTAAGTGCCATTGAGTCAGTTCTAACCCATAGTGACCCTGTATAGGGCTTCCAAAGAGCAACTGATGAACAAAGTTAAACGACTTTGCAGTCTAGCGCATTAGCCCACAGCACCATACCAGGTCTCCATGTAACTGTATGGTATTCACCATTTGGAAATTGTTGTATCATGATATTAGATGATGTAGCTTATTTTTATGCTTTCCTTTTACCATTACCAAGCATATTTTGGAGTTCTGGTGTGGTGCTGCGGGTTCAAACAGGCTGCAAAGTCGGTTTGAACCACAAGGTTGGTGGTTCATGCTCACCAGCTGCTCTCCAGAAGCCCTGTACAGGGTCACTGTGAGTCAGAACCGACTCAACAGCACTTAACAACAACAACAAGATTTATTTTTTAAATTAAGATACTTGGTTTTATGAAAGAAATAATTTTCTCTGCTCTGTTTTCCATAATTGGCACTGTATTCCTTTGAAAAATACCTTTTAACAGCTTGTTTGTCATCTATCTTAAAATGCTACAGCCTTGACAATTTCTTAACCAAGCAAAGCAAGGAAGGGAAAGGAATATCTCTTAGACTGGTCAAATATTGCCTTGAGCTTGAAAAACTTTTCTTTGGGTTCAGGCATGTCCCAAAGAGTGCTATTTGGGTTGCATCAGTTAATTCACAACCTTTATTCAGGAAAGTTGGGTCTCCCGAGTGCTCAACTGCTGCTTTTATAACCTCACAGCATAATTTAAAACGTGACACATACATAGTAGTCTTGTAGATTTCTGGTTCATTTTCCAGAGAATGGTGGTTGCTCATAAGCCAGACATTCAGTTTAAACTTGTGTAGATCAAATGAGTCAGAGGTAAACTTTATTTGTAAAAAAAAAAACTACAGAAAAATATTTAAACACATTGTTAGGTGTACAGCACTATGTGATTTTCTAAGGAAAATAATATAAATCTCAATCTGAGTACCTGACCTCCTGAACTTTATAATATCTAGTTGCATTTATCTGCAGAGATGTTGGGTTAATATGCTTTTTATTTTCTTCCTTTGTTAAGATATTAATGAGTAATGTCATGAAGATAATTCTTGTGGAGAAGATAGATCTAAAACATTTTAGCTAATTCATAATCTTTCATAATCTGTGATAAGATATAGAATCAATAATGTCTTGAATTTATGCCACTGTTAGTAATTTCCTTTTAAGTTCTAGAAAAAGTGGTACCAATTTCTTTAATTTATGGTGAGATATTTAAGACCTATAAAACAACATAAAGACTGTACTGAAAGGAACACCTATGTACCCACCACCTGCACAAGAAATCAACATGACTGGTAGAGATGAACCCTACTGTATACCTCTACCCTTGTGCAACTCTTCATCTTTCCAGAACTATAAAGATTCCTAATCCTATTGCCTTTATACTTATAGGATATACTTTTAACCTTTAGTATGATACTAAAGATATTTTTGTGCTCCAATTAAAATTTATGTTCCTTGTCTTCTTGGTTTACTTATCAATTCTCCACACTAAATTCCATGTTTGGTCATGACATAAATAGGTGTACTCAGATTTTAGACGCTACCATATCCATTTCTCTGTTCATGTTTTCAAGAAAAAATTTTCCTTCATTTCATCCATTGAAATCATACCTCATGAACATCCCTTCTACTCTTTAGTCTAAAATTCTGGTTAATAAAATGTGTTTCATAATTTTTTCATTGTACCTCATAGTTATTATATGCTTGTCTGTCTTCTCATTGTATGAATGCTATTCTATAGATTGTAAATAAGCACTCATTAAATGCTTACTTTTTCCTCAGCTGGATATTTATCATTCCGTTTTACTATCTGACCATTATTTTGCCCTGTACTTAACCACTTCATAGACTTGTACCATTTATGGTCTCAGGCTCCTAAGAAAAAATGTAAATTTTAATAATCATGGGTAGAAATATTCACAACATATTTTTATCAAAACTTGAACTTTGTCTTTTGTATATTACATGCTTTAAAATATAAAAATAATGTTTCTTTTTTGTTTTGTCTTTTAGATATTGCTATATGGGGATTTGCCAAAAAATAAAGAGAATATAATATATTTATCAAATCATCAAAGCACAGGTTTGTATTTCATTTGAATTTCACCTAGGTTTTTTACAATCTATATTGTTGTTGCTGTTGTTAGGTGCCGTCAAATTGGCTCCGACCCACAGACTCATCCATAACAATGAAACACTACCTGTTCTGTGCCATCCTCACAATTGTTGTCCTGTTTGAGTATTCGGAATATTATTTTTTAACATATTTTAATGAAATGCTCTTTTATGTAAATATGACTTTTATTCATGTACTATTCCTAACCTTTTGAAATTATTTTATTTTGTAGAAAGTCAGAAATATTAAAATAATGAATTTTTCTGACTTTCATCTTCTCCCAAGGTTGGGTGGAAATAAGCTAGTTCCTTTCTTTTCATGTGTGTTTTTTGAATAGTTCTTTAGTTTGTACTTTCTTCTTTTTGTATTTGTAGAATTGTTTCAGCAAGTTTTGTTTCTAAAGGTGAAAATGATGACATGTACAAAAAATGTTATACTTCAGAAAGGTTGTACTAGTATGTACTAGTATACTCATTTCATAAAAGGAGTAAGCATTTCATAAATACAATATTAGTATCTAATGTCTGCAGTTACATTTCTTTTTTACAATATGTTTTAAGTCTAACTTACTATATTCTTTTGCCAAAGAAATCGCAGAAGACTCTGCTCTTCAATATAGTGCAATATTTACTTAAAATTAGATTAAGGCACTTTTTAAAACTTTATTTTAAAAATAATTATAAATTCAGGAATTTGCAAAAAATTGTACATGGAGCTCCTAGTTTCTCCCATGGTGTTATAACTGTTGCAGTATAACTAGGAAATTGACGTTGGTTAAGATACTTTTTAGTTCACCTGATAATTCAGTCAAATCAACAGCAACAAGAAAGCCAGACTGCTTCATATCTTATTTCAAACCTGCTTTTGATGCATGCTTTTAAAATCCCATCTTTGCCACTTAAAAATGCATTACCTAGAAGTGCAAAGAAAGCTAAAAGCAACTGATCAATGATACTATTCTTAATGGAAAATCGCTTATGCCTGTGGCTTTCCTTTATCTTCCATCTTTCAACTGTCTCCTTATGATTTTTGTTGGTTTTTATTCAGTGGAGTGATAATTCACTTTATGTGTATACCTTGGATAAGGTCCATAGATGGAGTAAACAGTTTGTACTCTTCTACTAATCTGAAGGTTGGTAGTTTTAACCCACCCAGCCTGATGATTTGCTTTTGTAAAGATTATTGCCAACAACAAAACATTATGGACAGGTTCCCCATGAATCAAAATTGACTTGATGGTAGCGAGTTTATGTGTTTTTAATGTTTATACTGTAGATAAGAAATGAAAAGTAAAAAGTTGGAATGTACTTTTCCCAATTAGCTTATTAAGTATTACATTTTCATAGGACAAAAGTTGAAGCTACATGATGTTCATGGGGATTTTGATGTATTTGTGTATTATTCAACTTCATTAACCTGACTGTTTGATGGAATTACATTTAACTTTTGCCAAAGATACTAGAACAATGTTAATGGTCAGTGTTTGCTTATAACTCTGGCCTATAAAGCAGCCTAATTTCTTCCTGTATTTTGATTGTTTCTCTAGGCGTATTGACCCTTTTTACTACTAACACAGTCCTGCTTATTCCTGTCCTGCCGCTGATGTAATATTCCTATCAGGGTTCAAATATCGAAATAAAAAGGATTTATGGGCCCAAGGTAGGAATTGGCTCATAATAGCTTTGAGCCCCCCAAATTTCCTTCATATTGACTCACTGACTAATACCTAGTAGAACTTTCTTTTTGTTCACAGGATTCTTTCTTAAAATTCTGTGTCCCATTTCCTTTCAACTTTTCTTTTTACAGTTTTCATTTAAAGTTTAAGGCAAGAAAACAATGCATTTTTATACTTAAACGTGATTGTATTATGGCCTACAGTGTATTTCATAGGACTTAAAAAAAAATGTACAGCATAGCTTAAGAAATAATTATTCCAGGAAAATATGCCAAATCTATTATTTAGATTTGTAACCCAAATGTGAGGGGGCTTCAAAAGTTCCTGGAAAAATAGGATAAAAACATAATGGAATTATCCCATGAACTTTCTGAAGTCCCCTTGTATATCCCAAGATGTACTTTAGACTGAGGAGCCTAAACTTAGTTCTCAGGATTTATTCAGAGTTTACCTAGCTTTTACATCAGGTACTGTTACTGAAAGCTCTATTATATATGACTTAATATTAAACACATCATTAGAAAAAATGCATTTTTCAGTGAGTGTTTACATGATTTGAATTAGAGAAAAATGAATAGCAAGAGGGCTTCTATAGAAAGTTAAGAGGGGACTTCAAAATATCATGGAAAAAATCCATTATTTTTTATTTTTCCACAAACTTTTTGAAGCTACATTATGTATAGTCTAGAGAATAGTGATAATTTATAGCCAATAATATAGATATTTAGTAGTCAATACCAATAGTATATTTCTGTTGTTAAGTGTTGTCAAGTCAGTTCTGATTCATAGCCACCTGTATAGGAGTTGCTGGTGAGTTTGAACTGCCTATCTTGTAGATCAAACTAACTTTGTGGTCCAGTGCATATTCTGCAGCACCATACAGTGTTTGTGTGTTAAGTGCTGTTGAGTCGATAGCGACCCATAGCGACCCTGTATAGAGTTTCCAAGGAGCAGCTGGTGAGCTTGAACCACTGACCTTGCAGTTCAAACAGCTTTGCAGTCTGGCGCATTAACTGCTATAGGTATTTCAAAACAATAGACTTTGCTGCCAAGAATCATTATGAGGGGAAATCTTTGTAGGCATCATTCTGTTTAAAGCAGGACTGGGGAGTGTCTGGCCCAAAGGCTGTACGTTGTTGTTATTAAGTGCCGTAGAGTTGATTCTGACCCATAGCGACCCTGTATAAGGTTTCCAAGGAGCAGCTGGTGAGCTTAAACCACCGACCTTGTAGTTCAAACGACTTTGCAGTCTGAGGCATTAGCCTATGGTGCCACACTGGGACTCCAAAGGCTGTATGTTGTTTTTGTTGTTAATGTGTTGTGAAATCGTTTCTGACTCATAGCAACCCTGTACAGGATTTCCAAGGCTGTAAATCTTTATGGGAGCAGAAAGCCGGAGTAGAAAGCCTCATCTTTCTCCCATGGAGCAGCTGGTAGTTTCAAACTGTTGACCTTGAGGTTTGCAGCCCGATTCATAACCACTACACTACCAGAGCTCCTTAGCCTTCACATTGTTGTTGTTAAGTGCTGTCAAGTCGGTTCTGACCCATAGCGACCCTGTATAGGGTTTCCAAGGAGTAGTTGGTGAGCTTGAACCACTGACCTTGCAGTTCAAACAACTTTGCAGTCTGACGCATTAGCCCACAGCGCTACACCAGGACTCCAACCTTCACATTAGGGAGGAGTTAATTAAATGTTTGACCAAATATAGCAGGCTAATTTTTAAGTTGATAATTGATGTAATAAATATTAAAATGATGTTATAAATATCCAAATGGTCCTCGGCAGAAAACAGATTCTTCACCCCTATCAAGGGTCCCATGATAAAATTTATATTCAATTCAATGAAACATTTACTGATGAAGATCAAAGAACACAGCCTTCGGTATGGATTGCATCTCAATGTCAAGAAAACAGAAATCCTCACCACTGGATCAATAAACAACATTCTTATCAGTGGAGAAAAGATTGAAGTTGTCAAGGACTTCATTCTTCTTGGATCAACTATCAACATTCGCAGAAGCAGCAGTTAAGAGATCAGAGGATGTATTGCATTAGGCAAATCTGCTGCATAGGAACTTTTTAAAGTCTTGAAGAGCAATGATATCACCTTGAGGACTAAGGTGCACCTGACCCAAGCCATGGTATTTTCAGTAACCTCATATGGATGCGAAAGCTGGACAGTGAATAAGGGAGATCATAAAAGAATTGATGCCTTTGAATTGTGGTGTTGGAGGAGAATACTAAAAGTGTCATGGACTGCCAAAAGAACCAATAGATCTGTTTTGGAAGAAGTGTGTCGAGGTCCTATGTCGGGATCCCACCTCAACAAGGAAGCGTGGGTGCGACGAAGAAGGGATGTCTGGCAGCGAAAGTGATAGAGAAAGAGACAAAATATATACAAAAAAGACAGACCACAGATATGATGCAAGCTGGCAGGCAGACAGATCTGCAAACATTTTGCCTAGCATTGCCCAGCCTTGCACAGCATTGCATGCAGAATTCACTCTACCTCAGCCTTTTATTCTCTTTTTTAGGGAGGGATTTATTACAAAGGAAGGATGTCACAAAGGGAGGATGTGATTAAGACAGGGTACGGAACTGAAACGTGATTAATCATTCAAAACAGGACATAATGATTCACAGGAACAACTTTTAAGATATTTTCATGGTTTTTCTTAACAATCTAACATTTTTATTTTTACAGAAAAAAAAGGTTCAATCAAGCTGTTATATATTAACTTTTAGGCTTAAATGATCTAGAGTAGCAACGTGCGGTTTCTTAAGGATACATAACAAAGCAAGGTTCCTGAAAGGAGTCAAGCTGTCTCTGTACACTTTGCAAACTTTTGTTTGTGAGCAAGATCTCAGGCACCAGGCTTCATTTATCTATGCCTAAAATGCTACATTGTTCTTAATATTCCTATATACTTTCAGGAGGAAGGAGAGCATCTGGGTTAAACTGATTATATTCAGAGGTGGTTTAATGGGGCTGCCACTGATCAACCCAGGGTCTGCGGATGCTGTCCGCAGCAGAAGTGCAGCCAGAGTGCTCATTGGAGGCCAAGATGGATAAGCTTCGTCTCTCATACTTTGGACATGTTGTCAGGAGTGAACAGTTGCTGGAGAAGGATGTCATGCTGGGTAAGGTGGAGGGTCAGAGAAAAAGAGGAAGACCTCCAACGAGATGAATTGGCCAGGTGGCATCATTGATGGCGTCAAGTGTGGCAGCGGTAGTGAGGTTGGCCCAGGATCGGACATTGTTTCGTTCTGCTGTGCATGGGGTCGCTATGAGTTGGTTCCGACTCGATGGCACCTGACAAAAACAACAAATCCCTGGGTCATGAACTTCCAATTTAAGGACAACTTATTTGCCCTCACTTTGAAATGCTGGAACTAACCCCTATTCGCAACATATCTTCATACCAAAGACCTTCACTTGTGTGGCTTGTGCAACTTTTAAGTCTTTGAAAAGATTTTGAGTCTTTTCATATTGAAGTAAGTGTAAAGAAGAACCTTGGGCATCTGTTCCAACTCACCTACAATTTAGACTTGCACACTTAGAAATGGGTCTCATTTGTAACTTGAGGACTGCCTGTGTATAATAAATGTAACCTTTAAAAATTAGTCTCTGATCAAGAATTGCTAAAACAAAAGTCTTATTAAGCCAGTAATAGAAATTGATAGAAGTTTGTTTAATACACAATTTGCAAATTAGGATACCATTTCCACGCCCACCCATTGCCATTGAGTTGACTTGGAATCATCCAGTGACTCTATAAGAGAAGAGTAGTACTGCTCCATAGGGGTCCAGAGACTGTATGTCTTTATGGAAGCAGAGTGCCTCTTTATCCTGCAGAGCAACTGGCAGGAATTCAGGACTGAATAATATTCCAATGAAGAAAGAGCTTCCAGAGTCTTATGTCCCTTATCTGTATTTCCATGCAAACAGAACAGTTATTGTTAAGTACCTTCCATTCAGTTCTGGTTCATAGCGATCCTGTATAGGGCTTCCAAGGAGCAGCCGGTGAATTTGAACCTGACTACCTTGCAGTTCAAACCGACTTACTGATGCAGTGCATTATCCCACAGCGCCATACCTGGATTGTACCCTAAAACAGTCTGATTGCTCATAGGTAATTCTTCAAAAGAGCACCCTATACACAGTGCCTAAGAACAGTCTGTCTGATTAGCTTGACCTTTGTTTGACTTAAAGGTGCCTTTTGTTGTTGTTGCTCAGTGTTCTTGAGTACGTTCTGAGTCATAGTGTCCCTGTATAGGGTTTTCCAGGAGTGGCTGGTGAGCTTGAACCACCAACATTGCAGTTCAAACTGATCTTGCAGTCCAGTGCATTAACCCGCAGCACCATATCAGAACTCAAAAGATGTCTTTTAGGAGACTCATTTCTTCAATACTCAAGGTTCAAATTTCATCTCAGGATGCTAGGTTGGGTGAGTTGCCCCAACCTCCACGGAATCCTGAAATCTGGGTTCTACGAGAGTTAAAATTTAATTTCTTAGAAAATAGATATATAATACTTGATAAAACACGTGTCAAAAGATTAATTGTTAGTGTTTAAATAGGTAAATCTTCTTTGTGTTATTCTATCTAGAATGGTACATTGCCTAAAGGATTTCACACAACAGAGGGCTAATCATCCTGTAATTTTGTGGAAATCTGTTCCCTTTGCTTAAAGCTATATGGTTATTCCTTTAATTTTCTAGCTTTTATTTCCCACTGGTTTGGTCATTTTTAAAAATTTTATTTTACATTTTTCTCCATAAAATTAATCTATTTATTTTGTTCTCAATTTTTGTGTCCCAAAATATCCTTCTGATTTAAGGACTGTGTTCTTTTTTTCAGATTTTTACCAAAAACGTCTCTTGTACATTTCATTTTTATCAACTTCATTCTCAACTAGAGGTACTTTGTAGCCCTTTTATATCTGAATCTCCCTGATCTTCAAAACCCGTTGCCATTTGCCCTCTAAATTTCATTTTTATTTCTTATTATTCAGTTTGTCATCTTCTCTCTTTTCCATCCTCTGTACATATTTTGACAGTAGCCTTGATAATTCAATGGTTAAATGCTTTTAAAGTATCTAAAAGGTTGGCAGTTAAACCCCACGCAGCAGCTCTTTGGTAGGAAGACCCGACCATCTGTTAAAGAGTGCGGCATAGAAGCCCTTTGGGGCAGTTCTGTTCTGTCACAACAAGAAGCATACATTTTCTGGTTCCTGTTTCTTTCCTTTGGCAAGGGCCATTCCCTCAGTTTGGATTTTCTTCTTTTGTATGCAAACTCAACTAACAAATTATTTCTTCTAGGAAATTTTTGTTGTTATTGTCAACTCACTGTTAAGTTTCGTGCAGTCATTTAACTCATTACAACCCTGTGTAGGGTTTCTGAGGAGTGGCTGGTGAACTTGAACTCATGCAGTTCAAACTGACCTTGAAATCCTGGGTATTAACCAGCAACGCCACATCAGGACTCTTCTTAATTTTTTTTTAGCTGACCTTTTGCATGTAATTATACATATAAATAAATACATATAAATTATATAGTTTATATGCTTGGTCTTTGGTTATTTGAGGCACAACATCTGCCTTTCTCAATTGTAAACATCTTGAGACCTTTATTTTGAATGCTGTTATAACCTAGTATTGTGTTCTGAAATGAATTTTTGAAGATACAGTGTCTTTATCTTTTGTTGAACATCTTAGCAGATAGAAATTGTTTAATTGTGCTTGGAAGATTTATTTTGCCACTTCTTGTTTATAATTTCCTCTTTTTCTCTAAAAAAAAGAGGGAACATCTCCATGTCTTCTAATTTTAAAAACTTTCTCTATGTTGTCTAGATTTTATGAACTAGTCAAGCATATTTTATTTCTTGTTCATATTGCTCTTGGATTACTTTGGTATTTTGTGACATTTGTATTTTATTCCTTAAATAAAAGATTCCTTCAAGGAATGCAAATATACAGGTAGTTTTTTAAATGTCTGCAGTTGATTTGAAATACTTTTAGCAGTCTAACATTTACAAAGTATATTCTTAGTGTAATACTGTGAAGAAGCTGCCTGCTCCTGTAGAGAGCACGCTGAAGTCCCTGTGAGGGTCATTAATGCACTCATTAGTTTGGCTCTGTCTTTGCAGTGGACTGGATTATTGCCGACATTTTGGCCATCAGGCAGAATGCTCTTGGACATGTTCGCTATGTGCTAAAAGATAGATTAAAATGGCTTCCATTGTATGGGTGCTATTTTTCTAAGGTAAATTTTCCAATGTTTTGTTCATTATAGTACTTGATATAAACTGTTAATATTTACCAGTGTACACTTTTTGGGGTTTGGTGGTACTAGTAACCTATTCTAAATTGAAATGCTCTATTTGGTATTTTGAATGCTGTGCTTTTATATACATGTTTGATTACTGAGTTTAATCAAATTGGAAAGATGAAAATGTACAAAGTGTAACAAATAGAGCATTGAAGTGTTTAGAACTTGATAGATGATTAGCCTTAAGAAACTAGTGATAAAAATAGTTGATCTGCTGTTGAGTCAGTTCTGACTCATAGCAACCCTGTATAGAGTTTCCGAGGAGTGACTGGTGGGTTTGAACTGCCGACCTTGCGGCTAAAACTTACCTTGCAGTTCAGTGCATTATCCTAGGACATGAATAATAATAGCGAGCTCTATGTAAGGTGGTTGTTGTTGTTGTTGGTGGTGTGCCGAGGAGTTGGTTCCAACTCATAGCAACCCTGTACAGGATTTCCGAGGCTACAAATCTTGACAGGAGCAGAGAACCTCATCTTTCTCCTGTGGAACAGCTGGTAGTTTCAAACTGTTAACCCTGAGGTTAGCAGCCTGCTTCGTAACCTTAAAATGTAATGAAGCAGAAAGCCTCATCTTTCATTCACAGCCCCTCTGGTAATTTCTAACTGCTGACCTTTAAATTCACAGCCCTACTCGCAACCACTACACTATCAGAGAATTAAATGCCAGCTACAGTAATATTTAATGTGTTATTCCCCAAAATGTCTTTAAAAATTATACAGTGAAATACAAGAGTCAATGAGACCATCATGTTTTTCTAGATCTCGGGTGTTTTCTGCCCTTGACAGAGTGCAGTCAGTCTTACCAATTTTCTATCGCTGAGTTTTTCTTCTCTGATAGGTTTCTGCCTTCACACTTTCTGGCTTTCCCAATTTTAATGCATAATATCCTTCACGTCATGAAACTTCACAGAATGTGATCTTTGATGTTAACAGGCAGATTTACTAGCACGTTTCTATGCAGTGAGTCCTGCCCTTTTAATGTTATGTATGTTTGACATGTTGAAAGGATTGAACCAGCCCCTATATGTGAAACATAATCTTCATTATAATCATCTTCCCGTCTTGCACACACAGTTTTTAAATTATTGAAAGGACTTACAGCTTTTTCTTTCACTAAAGTCAGAACCATATCCATCTCTTCTGACATACTTACAGATCTTGTTCATAACCTGGGAACTGCAGGCATTTTAATTATGATGCTGTTTTGATTGTTGATTAGCACTGTTTAGTGGGTTGCAACTCATATTGATCCTGTATAGCGTTCCCAAGGAGTGGCTGGTGAGTTTGAACTCCTGACCTTGTAGTTCAAATCAACCTTACAGTCCAGTACTTATCCTATAGTGCCACATTAGGACTCCATTAGTTATGATACTAAGTATGAAATTTGTATGGTGGTCATGTTTTTTATAAAAATTAAAAATTGGTGAAGAAGAAAGCCTAAAATTTTAATTAATTCTCAAATACATATAAATTTTAAAAGCATCTCATAAACAAAATATAGCAATGCTGTCAATTCCTGCTATCCACAAGTTGAATTGTCAGTGTTTATATTAGAATTTAAATTTTAAATGAGAATATTTGAATGCTCATTTCCTCTCTCTTCTGGTTTTGAGATTTTTAACCCAATCAAACCAAACCCATTCCATTCAAATTGATTCTCAATCATAGTGACATAGACAGGGTAGAACTGCCACATTAGATTTCTAAAGTTGTAAATCTTTACAGAAGCAAACTACCACATCTTTCTCCTGTAGTCTTTTAATGGAAAATAAAATTCATATATATCTTGATGATAAGTACTTTAATCAAATTAAATCGAGTTAGATTATTAAGATGTGAACTTTATGTCGGGAAGTTAATTTTTCATTTGAAAGACTTTTTTTTTTTTTTTTTTTATTCTGAGTTGAGGTGAAGGTTTACAGGGTAGATCATCAGATTTACATTCAACAAATCACTGCAAAGATTAAAATCCTCTCTATGTACTATCGATTAACAGTATTTACCTCTATTATCCCCCCCCCTTTTTTTTTTTAATGTACACAGACCTCATTGAAAATATATATTTGCTTAAATGTTCAAAGGGCACATTTTGCAAGCCAATCTCCTGCCCACAAGAACACTGCTTTTCTCAGTCCATGGGCCTATAGTCCTCTGCTGTTCTCTTTATGCTATCACCTCTGCCACCATCTCTGTTGTTGCTGCTTTTCTGCCTAGGATCCCTCGCTCCTCTCATGCTCTTCCCCCTTGATGGTCCTAGGGTCCTGTGAAATTACAGATTAACTACTCCCCCCTTTTAGTTATGTCTCTCCTACATTTACAGTTGGGACATTCACCATTAGTCCTGATAACAATTACTCACAAAATAAACTGTAATTTAAAAATAAATAAATGAATAAACCGTAATTTTTTTGAACCATAAAATTTTTTTGAACCATAAAGTCCTATCCCCGTCATCACCAGATCCATCTGGACAAGAGGAAAACTTTGCGGTGGGGATTGTATCTTATCCCCCTCATTCTGACATTAAGCACACTCATGAAAGTTTATAGGTCACTGCATGCATTTATAGCCCCCCCCCCCATTTTTGATAGCCAGTTTAAGTTGCCCATCTCTATCAAGCCAGTTTACTAAGGAGGCAAGCTTGATCCTTGATATGAAGAACCTTTCCCTTTCAGTTGAAATTTTTGGCAACTTTATCTATAATGAAAGGTCCAGTTCAAACTGTAGCAATTTATTCTTGGTCCCTGTATCAACGTTGTTTGCCTTCATCTGATGAGTTCTGGTCAGCAAGCCATCCAAGCTAGGTCAGAAAGGCACTATGTGCAGGTTTGGGAATTCTTGCATGCCTCCCCCCATTCCCCCCACTTCAGGCCATTTGACCGCTTCACTCTTAACTCTAGCCCCTAGTGGTTACATCACTGTCCTTGGGCTCAGAATTTCACATGTCTCCCTGAACTTCAAACCAGTCATCCCTTCCTCTTCTTTCTCTCATTTTAACATCATCAGGTGTCTATAGAACATGGCCAAACTCATTTCTACAGAACATGGCCATGTCTTCATTGATACATTTCTTCCACTTGTACTCAAAAATTGACCAGGGCAGTCAGCAGCGAGCATAAAAGACTATTCATATGTTCCATTTGAGTTTCGGTGAAAAGACTGGTTTTTAACACTTAATTTGCTTGAAGCAAAAATACTGCTTTTCGAAAAATATGAAGGAAACAGACATTTGTATTTTTTTGTAATTATTTACTTATAAATACTAGGTATTTTATATATATAGAAAATACATATGACTATGTAGATATTCAGAAAGCTAAACATTTGTAAGTGATGATTAGTCTCCGAACATTATAATTTGTAATTTAGCTTTAGAATGCATAACAGTTCTGCTTGCTCCTCCTCCAACAAAAGGCAGAAGTCTTGACATAGCCTAATTGTTAGGGTGTTTGTTGTTTTAGTTAGATAAACTTTTTCCATTAAAGCCCTATGAAGATAACTGCAGGTACTTGTAACAGCTATTACTGACCTCATTTAATCACTGATTTTATTTTTAAACATGTATCTGTTTCATTCTTGTGCAATGAAGTTTAATGGTATTTTAAGTAGATTACAATTGGGTATTAAATAATATATGAATTAAGAATGATATTCTTATACTCAGAAAGAGAGATCCTTTTATATCACTAATATTTAAAACAGAATATTCTGGACTTTATTTTATTTGTCCTTTCTATGAAGGATGAATATACTCATGAAACTTAAATGATTTAATGTTGTTATTGTTGTTAAGTGCTACTGAGTCAGTTATAGAGTTTCTGAGGAGTGGCTGATGAGTTTAAACAGTCGACCTTTCAGACTAAACTGACCGTGCAGTCAAGTGTTTGTCATACAGTGCCACACACTTGAGGAAGACTTGAATTTTTAAAAGTAGTAGAAGAAATGTATTTTGTCTGAGACTTTGTTGCTTTATAAAGTGTTTGAGGTAGAGGGAAGAATATTTATGAATAGATTCTATAACATTTTAGAATTCTGAAAGGAATGGTGCATTAAGATGCTCAAAACAACTTTTGAAGGCAATTTGCACCCCTAAATCCCATTCAGGTGCTTTGTTTTTTCAATTTCCTTCATTTGTATTTTACTAGGATCTTTTCTCTCTTTTCCTTTCCTTGACCTTCGCAATCCCAAGAAAAGATTTGTAATGATTTTATGGGAGTTATTTCAGAATGTATAACTCAAAGAGAGCTGGACAAATGTAGGAACTCCAGTAAGATTATGATTTGTTTATATTATTTTTATCAAGTCTCATTTGTTTATTTTAAGATTTAAATTAGATCTTTTTTCTGGAAATCAGGATTACATACCAACTTCAGATTTTTTTTAGTCTATTCATTTTATTTACTTCAAACTAAACTAAGCCTTTTATAATTACTTTTTAAAAGTTATTTTTAATTAAAAAGCTGAAATAATTATTATAGTGGAAAGAAATGTATGAATTGGAAAACACAGGGTCAGGAGGTCTTAACACAAATTTTCCCTCAGAGGCCATGCTGGGCTTAAATATTAAAATATCAGAAACAGTCAAAAGTATTCTGAATTGCTAGCTAAAGTAAATTCTTCTGATTGGCTGTTTTCAGTAAATCATTAAGAATATGCCCAGGTAAGTCTCTTATATAAGGACATGCCAAGGCAAGTCTCTCTAGTCTCTGTAAGTACTTTCTTCATGTTAGTTAATCTACTTTAAATCATATTCTTCCTGAGGGCAAGCTGCTACCGCCTGGAATTGCCCTAACTTGGCTAAGCGCAGTCACATTGTTGGTCAGCAAGCGTTGGAGAAGTAACATAAAGAAATTAAATGGAGTCTGAAGTTACATCCAGACTCAAAATGGAATTAGGGCTCCAGCTATAGACTGTAATCTTCTACAAACCAAGTAC